ATCGAATATTAAAGTATTTTTTATTCAATCGATATTTGAATTATATTTCTTAATTTACAAAGTATCAAGAATAATTGTATATCTATTCAATAACATTAAATTCATTTTGATCTATTTGATATATCTATCTAATATAATCATTTTGATAATATTGGTTTCTTTATATATTCAATTATTAATTCCAGTTTTCTTTTCTTTTAGTAATATTAATTAATAAAAGTTTTATTTTAATTCTATAGGAATTCTATTTTCTTTAACGAAGTTGAGATTTATAAATATATTTATAATTTTAGAATTAATTAAGGTATTTGTTTATTGATTCTTTAATTTAATTTCTATAATCAATTATTCGATCTTTATAATACTATTTAATTCTAATAATAATAATTCAATAATTTGTTTTTCAATAAAGAAATTCAATTATTTATATTGATATTTGTTTATATTTAATAATCGATAAAATATAATAAATAATAATCTTATTAATTCTATTTGAAAATCTCGATAATAATCTCGATTTGATATTTTTTTATTATTTTTATTAATCTTTTATTAAATATAACAAATCCTGATTTATAATAAAATCTTTTATATATTTTAATTTCCAGATTATATTTATTATATTCTTATATTTTGTTGAAAAATAAAAATCTATATTTATAATATACTTTTAATATTATTTATTTTAATATTTTCCTTAAATATTATATAATAAATATTATTATATATTATTATATAGAATATTAACAAAATAAAATAATTATAGATTCTATATTTCTTAATAAAATCAGATTTCTTTTTTTTATAATAATATTATATCTATTTCTTATTTAGATAACTAATTAGATACTATAACTCATTTTCCCAAAATAAATGATAGGACTCAATTAATTATTGATTCTCCTCGAATTCCTTGATTGATTCTTTATCTTTTAATTCGAGATCTTCTAAAGATTCTCCTTTATAATCGATACTATTCTCAATACTAGTTCTAGGGTTTTGATTATTAATATCTAATTTCTTTAATTATTCAGAATTGAATTGAAATAGATCTTTTTCTAATAATCTTATTTTCTTCAAATTTCCTTCTAAAATCCCTATTTCTCGAGAATTCTATCTTTTGTTTTCAAATCTTATTTGTTTTCTGTTTTTTATAATAAATAATTTTTTCTTTTGAAAACAATCTTGAAATATATATCTGCTTTTTCTATAAATAAAATATAAATTATTCTTTTTATACTTTTTTTTGTTAATATTTAGATTATTTAATTTTATATAATATTGTTTAATATTATTCAATTCTATTAGATTATTGATATTATAATATCTATTTTGATAATAAGGTTTTGGAATTTTTGTTTTCCTAAATGATTTCTTTTTCTTTATTCGTTGTTTATAAAATCGATTATCAATGAAAATAAAGATTTTAATTAATTCGAAAAGATTAAATAGTTTTAAAATTTTCATTAATTCGTTTTTAATGATATTTTTCAATCCTTTATAAAATTATGATTTTAAATAATTATTATTCTAGATAATATATCTAATATATTATTAAAACTTGATAATATAAATTGTAATTGATTCAATCTGTTTGAATTATTGTAATGCTTTTTCAATTATATAATTAGAATTTATTTCTTCGAATATTCTATTGAATCCTTGTCTAAACAATTTATAATTAAGAAATAAATGATGAATCTCAAATTTCATATTTTCATTTAGTTAATTATTAATAATTTTGATTATTAGATTATTAAAGAATAATTCAATTCAATTGAATATAATTCTTTAGAAAAAGAAGATCAATTATAAAATCCTTTATATAAAAGTTAAAAAAAGTTATTTGTTAAAGATATAATAAAAATCAATTTATATAACAAAAACTCAATATTTATTATAATCTTTATAAAATAAATCAAAAATGAATATCTAAATTGTTTATTTATATTTTATAATAATAATAATTTGAATAAAAATCCCGATTGGATTGAATAAAAACAATTTAGTAAACTATTGATTGAAAATTATTATATTATATATAATTTAATTATAATAATACTCAAAATATAACAATCTAATCGAAACAATAATTACCTCAGATTTTTGTATAATTGATAATTATAAATTAAAATTAATAATCATTAATTATCTATTCAAAAATAAATATATTATTAGATCAATTAAAATATAAATAAATTAATTGATAATTAAATTGAATATAAAACTTTTAAATTATAAAACTATTCTGATTATATATTAATCTATTTTGAAAGCCTTCAAAAACCTATACTCCTAAAAACTTCAAAAAACCTACAAAAACCTATACTCTTAAAAACTCTATTATATAATTAAGATCAAACTATATATCCAAATTTGTTGAAAATAGAAAGATTATATAAAACAATTACTATACAAATTTATATACAAATTGCTTTGCTTTTCAACAAGGTCAAAGCTTATAAAGACAGGTTGACTGTTACCTTGTGACATTCTATAAAATGATTTCGTAACAGAAATATATAATCTCTTTTTTTATTATATCTTTATTAAAGGTTTATATTATTTAGATTCTTAACTTTTGAGATAGTTTAATGAAAATTTAAGATTTAAATATTGAATATATATCAAAGTATAAATAGAATATTGATTTGTTTTTAATAATTAAAAATTAGAAACTTTTATTTAAAAATAATAATAATAATAAGTTGAATATAATCTGTTTGATCAATTATAGTATAAATATTTTAAAAAATTTATATTTTATTTTTAAAAATTTTATTAAAAATTTATTTAAGTTTTTAAGTTTTAAATTTATATATAATTTATATACAAATAAAATTTCAGAATTTATTATTAAATAAATAGTAAATTTATATTTAAGATTTCAAAAAATTGTATTTATAAATATGAAAGTTGTAAATGTTGATTTTTGTCATTTTTGGTAAGGAAAATAGCCGGAATGAGGGGGTGGCCGGAATGTAGAGTAGGGGATTTAGAACCGAATGATTATAAATTTCAAGTATCAATATAGATAGACGGAATGGCTAAGAAGACGAGGTCGTTAGAGCTCGTGACAATCTGAACGAACGAAATGGTAAATAAAAGCAATACATCAAGGCTAGACAGCCAAGCTAAGTGAACTTAACTAATTGCTTAACAGAATCAAAATATAGAAGAAACTCAAGAAGAAAATGGCCTCTCTATGTAGAATAAATGTTCGAATAAACCGAGATAATTCAAGACTTCGAGAAAAGCGGATAAAATAGTCGAAACCCCATAAGCAGTCCATCAAACAACTCCGCGTGCAACAAGTTTCAACTACTATCGATTCCGGGAAAACAAAGATAAATTGCTCAGTGGCATAACGACTAAATGATCAAAGCATTTCAACGCAGTTACTTGACTGAATTTAACGAAATCTTTCGAAGCTATCTGAAAGGAGCTAGCTCAGATCAGGACATACAAAAAGGAAAGCTAGCTTCTGAATTCTTTAAAAGATAGTCGAAGAGGCTGATAGCTTAAGAGAAGTATCCATACAATAATGGTCAACGATCAATGAACTAAGGACTGAGATATTCATGATAAAACTTCCTCAATTGTTTTCGATCGAGTTACAAGAACTAGGAGCCCTTGACGAGAAACTTTCTCAATGAGAAGAGTAAATAACCAGAATTAAAGAATCAATGATAAGGAATGAATCTTCAATCTATGACGAGAGACAGGTGAGGGCGATAGAGACCGCTGCCATAGAGTCTCAAAGTGTTAATAAAAGACTGCTCAAAACTTTTCATATAAAGTCTAACTAGCAACAAAATATATAAATAAAACAGAAAAATATCCATTTCTAAAAGAATTCTATTCTAAAGCATAAACAGCGGCGATAAAGCTATTTGAGCGTCACATCTAAGATAAGTAAATTATAGATGTAAGAATTCATCAAAGAAATAGGGCTTGGACTATATAGAAAATCTCAATATAGCTGCACAGATTGACCTAGACGAATTCCTTCACGATGACTAAATAGCACCAGCTTTTACGTACTAAGCAACTATAAGCTGAAAAGAATATATAGACACTGATAGGAAAGCAACTAACTTCAAAGCCCCATTTATTGCTTCTTGAGAAAAAGTATCTAGATGGATTTACACCCTGGCCCATGATCCCGACTTCAGATTTGGAAAGATGAGGATGTTCGCAACACTGTTCTTCGAACATCGATTGAAAAGTACAGGGCGCTATACTCGGATATATGATTGGGATGTATGTGTTGGGTCAGAAAATTGAAAAGGAAGAGGATATCGGTAAATAAAACACCAAAGGCGATGAAGATGTTGAGGACAGCCTCGACCAGACAGAGAAATTGAAGAAGAGAGGTTAAACCTTTGACGAGAAGGTACACAAGCCTTCTCCATAATACAGAGTCAAGACCGTATAGAATGCAACACAAAATGCATAAAAGGAGAGATATATCTGCAAAAAAGACCGTCAAAAACATGATATGTAATGGGAGGTCTAGTCCAACCCATACATCAAATCGAAATTGACTGGTTTCAAGATTTAACATTTTAGCAGCATGGAATATTTGGCCCACGTATATGGCCTACATACATGGTTCCTATTGCAGGTAAATTGAGATTATCGTGGAAAACGCTATTCTAGTTTCCAACCTCAAATTATAGTCTCTACTGGAATATCAATCGGGATGTGGTCTAAAAGGCCTGCCGCACCATTGGGATTCAAACACGAGATCCTCAGATTTAGCCAGAGCTTAAAGGCAACGCAACGCTGTAGGGATAGAACGTTGCGCATAATAAGTGTCAGGACATGAAAGTCATGACATTAGCCCAAAATGGAAGGATAGGCAAACCAGCAGTTCATTGTCCACAGCAAAATATGTTCTTAGGTCGATTCCCGAGTTCATGTAGAGTAAGAGAATGTCATTCAGCAGGTTAGAGATACATCACAGTAGATGAAGAAATAGCAATAGAATATCATAATCCTCAAATATCTCAGTGTTTCTCACGTAACTTTGCTAAAGCTGCGGCAACTCCTCCACTAAGTTCTTCATCTTTTCCATCTCTTTTCTCTTCTCTCGAGCTAATCTATCTTCTTCTTGCTGAGCGGCCCAGATTAATGCTTCTTCATCGTCATCGCCTGTTATCCAATCATCTTGTCTCTCCTTTGAAAGACTTTGACTTTGATGTGACGAGTCGGTAGATTTCTCCCCTAAAGAAGTCATTTCTCTCAACGGAACACGACTAAGAGGTATAGCACGATCTAAAACTCCTAATATTTCTGCCCCATCTTCTGTTGTTTCCTCCTACTCAAACCTCTACGAGCTGCCTTTCGTGCTCTAAATGGTTCATCAACACTCCACATTACTTTTTGACCTTTTTATCTTAACCATTAACAACAGCAATTTCTTCTGGTCTTGCATTATAGCATTCTTAATACTTCCAAATGCATCAACTTGCACACGTCCGTCTTATTAATATTCCTTGGGACTGTAATGAAATCTACCATTTTATCCCCATAACTCTTACTTTCAACACCTAATAATCTTACTACTCGTCTCCGCTTAACCTTATTATAATTAATCGGAATCTATCTGTCTGTCTGGCAGTTTTTCTCATAGATATGGATGATAACAGAAGAGATTCAAGAAACTAATTCTTGTATAATTAGTGGAAGTTTGGGAATTAGTTAACTTTTTATTTTTCATACAGGATCAGAATAATTATTTTAATTGACCTATTTATTGTAATCCCGTTTATTTTATCAGCGTTGAGTTTGTTTGATATATCACGAAATATTGGATAGTATTGGGCTAATTAATGCCTAATTATCTTCTTAGTCTGAATGCTGTTCAACTGTTTGCAGTAGGTTTTATAGTTATTTCCTATTGGAAATTTCTATGTTATTGCTATTGACAAATTATTTGGGATTTGATGCAAAGTGTTCAACAGATGAACAAGAAACGTAAAGGATTTAGTTTTGATAGTGATTTATATAATAGCAGCGAGAATACCATCACTGGAAAACTTGTAATCTTATCATCATCTTCAAGATATAACCTAATTATCACTCAACTGAATCTCCTATCCTCGCTACCTCAGTCCCTTTTCCTTCAACCACTATTTAGAAGTCTTTCTTTACTTCTGGACTTTCTTCCTCACTTTAATTAACCTTGAATTTGCTAATGAATTGCAAAAGAAAATTCAAATCTTCAAAATCTATAATATTGCCCCAGTGATGGATGTTCTATGAAGAGAAATAACTAAGAATCTGGAAGTTTATATACTCAAATTTTTAAAATTTAAATGATATACAATCAAGTAATAGTTATTCTTCAGAACAATATACAGATAAGCCTGATTTGAGTCTAATTAGGTATTATTAAGTGGTAGAATATAATATTTACACAGAACAGTTATTATTAAGGCTCTTCTTTCCCACCGCGCGACAACGTTTGATTCCAGTGGTTTTCCGAGGGAGATTATAAAATATCATCATTGTATAGGATTTCAATACAGTAGCGAAACGGAAAGAGATACAACAATTGGGAAATGGTTTCGCAACACTTTCTGATCCTAATTACTAGATCTACTTTTAAAATTAAAGGGATGAAATTGGGGGTTTTTGATTGCGAATCCTTTGGGTTGGGGGAATATACAAGATATAAGTGATCAATCATATAATTATATCGGTAGTAATGATCATGAACACGGAGTTCTTACTATCAATAAAATAGATACAGAGGAAGTAGTTGTCAGAAGAAGTTAAGACTAAGATTATCCAAATTTCTACTATACATAATCCTTCAACGATCCTCTCCACCTTTCATCTCTTGTAACAAAATTCCCAAATTCTATGTATCCAAAATTAAACTTCCAATAGAATCACAGTACTCCAAAAATTCTCAATCATCAGCCACCAGGAAAACGTTCCACCCGATTTTTTCCTTTCAATTTTGATATTTCTTAATAACAAGATGTATTTATATTTATAGCTAAGAAACACAGAAACACACCAGGTGCTGAGATACCTACTGAAATAGGATCTGGTGAGAACTCAGGAGTCTATAGATGAGTGAATAGAGAATGACTCATTCAATATAAGTCATTAATAAAGAAGACATAAATCTTTACAACTGATATCTTCACGAACTTTTGAAGATAGAAAGTTCGAGTAGGATTTATTGAATTGTATGGGATGTGCAAGAATGAAGTAGAAAATACAGATTCGGAGAGTGGAAGGAGGTATTAGAATAGAGAATGAAAATTCGAAGGTTTAAGTTTTGTGGCCGTGGTTGTGATAAACGTGCAAGATGGGCGATGATAAAATAAGTTGTAGTTCGCGACGGTGAGTATGTATGTTGAGAGGTGCATATCTTTGTCTGTGTAGCTGTACCATTATCAAAATCCAAATGTTCCAATCATGTTGTGTGTCACGGTAAAATGCAAAATACCGTCATCTGTTCAAACACTGAGCAAAAACCCTTGGCGGGTAGGTCCCATGTTTCTACTAACTCCCTATGTCAATGCATTGTAAAGATTTCTCGGGGTTTTCTTGTTCTATAGGTATATTTATAGAGGGAGGGGCCAATAAGTAATTCCAGCACGAAATACCTATTTAAACAAATAACTAATAAACAGTGAAAATATCCTCGATCAAAAGCCCCAACCATCCCCTTTAGCACACTCAGCGCAAAAAGCATGGTTAATCCCCTTTTCCCCTATTCACATCCATTTTCCATCTTATAAGCATACGCTTCATACTTCATAAGAGTACCACTCTCAATATATCACCTCCTGCAAAGAAGCAAGTATGAAACGAGGGCTGTTCCACATGCTTTGGAGCGTTCGGGACAAACCTTATCCTTGTGACTGGTGGAGAGCGGCTCAATTAATTAGGGGTTGATTTTAATGAAAATCGAGTAGATGATAAGATACACAATATACATAACGAGAATGAGAGCGAATAGGATGATAGCATGAAGAAACTGGAGCAGTAAACCAAACACAACCAATATCATCAACAGACAAGTAAAAAAAAAAAAGTTTCGCTCGTAACTTTACGCAGCCAAAACAAAAACATGAGATTTAAAAACTCTGTATTAATGTCTTGTTAACGTAGAAGTCTAAACCTAGATGAGCGACAGGCCGTTACTTGCGGCATTGTTGAGAGAAGTAAAAATGAGATCTATTTCGAATAATATTCACGCAAATTGAATAGACTATTTAAAATCATTATTTGGTAGAAGATTGTATGACTGATGAATCCTAGCAGTCCTCTTTTACGAGGTCGTTTATTGTCGTTAGTTAATAGATTTATGCTTAATCATTGTTACACACAATCCATCCTATCTCATCTCTGTCAAGTCCGGCTCCAACAATATCATATACGCCAAAATAAAAATAATAGAATTCATGTCCTGACGCCAATTGTTTTAAGAACTCTCCGCGCTCGCCATTCCAGTACCATATCCATCCATTCATAAACAGCCAATTCGTGAAATTAGATATATTTCATTCACATTACTCAATCAACCCGCCAAATCAAGAATCGCATCCGTCCTCCATCCTCCGGAAAATTTAACGTACCCTCCACCATTTCACTCCCTTATTCCCTCCACTGCCTCTGTAAAACATCTTCTCATCTCCATGGAGGGACTCGACTGTGGTACCGACAAAATAGGGGAACGAATCTCATGATTACTAATATGACCCCACGATTTATCGAAATCGTCTTGTTCATCCACTTTAGATTTAGAAGGTCGAGAACAGCGATGGGATTTTGATTCCGGTTTTGATTCCTGCGGCTTTGGGAGAGAGGTGGAAGGAGGTGCAGAGGAAGATTTACTGCTACTGGGTGTGTAGACGAGACCGAGGAAGATTCCTTGAAGAGAAGCGTCGCCGGTTTCTTCGGAGAGCGAGAGACTTGAGATCATGGGAACCGTGGAGCCTGAAGCTGGGAGATTGGAGTTAAAGAATGAATGGGAGAGAAGGACGTTCGGAAGATGATGGTGAAGAGATGAAGGAAGTGTGGATGTGAAGGAAACGGGTGGCATTGGAAGCGATGGCGTGAAAATGCAAAATTGTGACGAAGGATTTGGACGAGGCAAAGAGGGATCGGTTATGGGTTGTTGAGATGAGCCTGTGACAAATTGTTAGCTTCCGTCATATTTTCGAGGTGATCTGGGTGGGAAGAAGCCCCATGGAAATAATAATTGACGATGAATTGGGATGAAGTTGGAATGCTAGGAAACCTAGAATTACTCACGGTCACTCCTTTCAACAGCCCTCGCACACACAACCGTGCCAAATGCCACCGTCGTAAACAAATTAGAAACCAACATTTTATTTTGGATATTCTTGCTCCGACGTAAGAATTCTTATTTTAAAAATATTACACCTCAATCGAATGGAAATATCTGGGACTCTTTCTTGAAGCAATCTGCGGCCGGCCGTAACCTTCCAATATCCACGGGCGACGCTCATACTTAAACATTTCTACTCCAAGCCTATACGCCAAGCGGGCGGCTGCAAAGCTCGATGTTTTGCAAGTGGCAAGCATATCACTCTCCCCATATTTTTCAGATCAATATATCTCAATTGAGTAGATGGACAAATCAACCGCAAGTAAAAGGTATTAAAAATGTCAAAATATCATTCCAAGGTTGAATGTCATTGGCTACATGAGTTTGTTACCTGGTTTGTGTCAAGGGGCTTCAGGGGTCGTTGGTTTTAAGTTAACCTATCGAGCATGCATTTGGGAAGCGAGAAAATATCCATCAGGAAACGTGGTAAACCACTTGAAAAGCTTTAAACTAAGCTTGCATAAGCTTAGGAGGAGATCCTATGGATGGTAATGATTTATTAGAAAGAAAGCCAAGGGACGGTAAGTTTGGGGAGGAAGTACCGACAGGCATGCCAAGAAATGGAGTCGATACCGTGACAGAATAAGTGGAGAAATGATGTTTGGACCAATTTCTTGGAGGTTTGAAGGGGCGAAAAGAAAGACGCACGCTATCACACGTTTGGCGGATCATACCTACATGTGGCCGGTACGCTTGTCATCGAATGGGTGCTTTTGCTAACGCGACAAGTAATTTATATCGAGAGATTTTCATGCTTAAATCTTTTTTGGCCCTCTCCCTCTCCATATTCAACAGACATCTGGCCATTACCGCGAATTTTGTATTTATAGATCATGAGACCTTCCAAACCAACTGGTCCTCGTGCATGGATCTTGTTTGTTGATATTCCTACTTCAGTACCGAATCCGAACCGCATTCCATCAGCCATACGACTGGAAGTGTTCCAGAAAACACCTGCCGAGTCCACACTAGCCATAAATCGCTCAGCAAGTTCAGAGGATGAGGTGAGAATTACATCAGTGTGGTGGGAACCATGGATATTGATATGTGAGATGGCCTCGTTGAGATTAGAAACGGTTTTGATGGCAAGAGTAAGTGATAGGTGTTCCGTATCAAAATCACTGTCCACTGCATCCTGAAGGAAAACTGCTTGGTGAGAAGGAAGTTTTGACGAGAGAGCTGCTTTGCTAGAAACATCACATCTTAACGAGACACCCTTCTCTAGAAGTGCTTCCGCAGCTTGTGGTAGAACTGTCTCTAGAGCAGCTTGCTCGACTAACAAAGTCTCCACGCTGTTGCATGCTGCTGGATATGAAGTTTTCGAGTCAACGATGACTCTTATTGCCATTGCCGGGTCAGCAGTATTCTCAAGATATATCGAGCAGAGGCCATCTGCGTGACCCATGACTGGAATTTTAGTATTTTCCTTGATGTATCTGACCAATTCATTTGAACCTCTTGGGATTACAAGATCAATATATTGGTCCAATGCCAATAATTGAGGGATTACGTCCCTGGTTGTGACTAATTGTATAGCAGCTGCTGGAACTTCAGTTGACTGCAAGGCCACTGATATCACCGTGGAGATAGCAATGAAAGATTCGGTAGATTCTTTGCCACCTGCAAAGTATTAGCTCTCATGTGAATAATTAAAATAATATTTTGTCCTACCTTTTAAGATAGCAGCATTCCCGGACTTTATTGCTAACGACGCGATGTTGGCAATCACTTCAGGACGTGCTTCAAAAATGATCAGAAGTACTCCAATCGGACATGACACTCTCTCAAGGTCCAGACCATCGTCAAGTCGTGTTCGTAGTGTGACTTTTCCAACTGTGTTGAGCGATCAGCAGAAGTTTATTTTCATAGGGAACAAAGCAAAATACCAGGGTCGTCAAGATCTCTGACATCCAAAATTCCCTTCAACATATCTTCATATTTTCCTTTCTTCCCCAAATCCAATCTCGACACTATACTTAAGCTCAAGCGACCACTCTCGGCTTCCCTTTTAGCCAATTCGAGATCCCGGGCATTAGCGGCTAGTATATTTTCTTTATTCTGTAGGAGTGCATCGTGAATAGCAGTCAAAGCTACATTTCTCGAGGACGTTGGAAGTGTAGCCAGAATGTGAGACGCAGTCTTTGCCCCGCTTGCAGCTTCTGCTGGGGTTGCGTTTGTGAGAGACATGGAAATTGAAAGAGTCACGAGTGAAAGACTCGATAATGATTCTAGAATGATTATAAATTTATCACCACCGAGATTTATGGTAAAAGCTCAAGAGCGTGTTATAGATCCACTCGAAATAGTATTGGTAAAAAAGTAATGAATGCTTTTGTTCCACCCCTCAATGCGATGACTGATTTCTGATAACACGTGATTAGAGCCGGAGCAGGCGGCCGCTAGCTTAAATTAACCCCAGACCTGGCTGGAGCTCCAAGGCAACATCATAGCCTCTCGCATCTCCGTCCCCTCATTCTACATGGTAGTGTTAGCGTTGAGACTCCAAACACAATATCTCGAAACTATCTTTGGTGATTCGGGTGTCAAATTTGAGAATTTGAGATTGCCCCGTTGATTTTTTACGGAAAGCTATCTGAGACCGATTCGAACCCTCGAGAGGTGTGCAATTAATCAAACGCTCATTATCTGGTCGCATACCCTACTTTCAAGATGGATAATTTCCTGTCCCGGATGCTTTTATTTCCCCCTCATCCCGCGCCTTTGGTACCTCTCTCAGATTCGCAATACGATGCTGGTATCATATCGCAAATCGAGACTTTGAAGAAAACATCAGAGAAGACTTTGCTACAGAGCACTGCGGGTGGTGAAAGTCCTTTAGATGTGAGCAGTGGTGTATATATTACCGTCAGCCATGAGCTAATATGTTTATATTAGGTTATCAACCCCTCGTTAAATACTGTTCCATATATTTACATTCTAAATGCCCATATCGCTGCAGCTTACAAAAATGAGAAGGGAATCAACATCGACGATTTATGGGATAAAGCGACAAGTTTCCTACACAGTTTCGATCGAAGGCAGATTCGATATCTTGGTGAGGAATTGCAAGATATCATGAGTTTTGTAGCGGAAGTTGCTTCGCAGCAACATCAGGTGCGTAAAAGTAACGCTTTTGGTGTTACATTAAGAAATACTAAAGCTCGTAAAGCCCGGCGCTGCCATCCCACCAATTCGAGAACCTCTACTTCGAATCGACCCCTCGGGATCAGTCCTGACCTCGAATCATTTATTTCTTGTTCGATTGGCTCTCCAAACACGATGTTTCACTGCCATCACAGAACTTCTTGACAAACCTGTCCTTTACATCCCCGCCAAAGAGCCAGTATCATACACAAAATTTCTTTGCGAGGCCGACTTACCAGCACAATCCTATGTGACGATCAAATCGGGCTTCACTTCCAAACTAAAACCTCTTGACGTTCTAGAGTATTTCTATTACGCCGGATCAGTCTACATTGGTTTACATAAATGGGATGCTGCATTAGAGATGTTGGAGGATGCTATAACGTACCCGGTGAACGAAGGTGGTGTAAGTCTCGTTATGGTTGAAGCATATAAAAAATGGTTACTCGTTGGAATTCTTCAATATGGAAGGGTTCTCCAGCTTCCACAAACCACTTCTGCTCCTGCCGCTAAAGCATACCATATTATTGCAAAACCATATGAAGCTCTCGCCAGCATTTTTGAAACTGGATCAGCTGCGCGACTAAAGAGTGAAGCCGAGTTCGGTCGACAATTATGGACTGACGATGGTAATTTCGGTCTAATGTACTGTGTTCTGTGCGCCTATCAAAAATTTCAAATCCGTAACCTCGCTAATATTTATTCGAAAATTGGAGCTGCGGATATTATGAGCCTCACGACGAGTGCAGAAACTGGTGTAAAGTTGACTTCAATTAAACAAATTGAAGATCTTATACAAAGCATGATTGCCGACGGCACCTTACCTGCAACTATGATTCGAGATCAATCTGGACATGCAGTCCTCGCTTTCTCACCAACTGGACCTGTCCTTTCGGAAACCCAGGTTCAAATTGATTTAGTGGCATCGACTCGACGTATCCAATCTCTAGCCAAACAAATCAAAGTCACAGACAGAGTATTGACACATGATAAGCGATATCTCGACAGTGCTCAGAGAGCTAAGAGCAAGGCGAAGAAGGTTGGTGGTGTGACTGTGGATCCTATGGATTGGAATACCGTAATCGAGGATGAGGATATAATGACGGAGATGTATTGATTTTAGTTACGGTGGAAGAGGATCAAGTTAGCCGTCAAAACGGAAGGGTTTTGCTTTTCGGGAAGACACGATATGGATAATAAGTCGTGAAAAGCGATATCTGGTGCATGGTGTGATACACAGTTAAGCTTTTCGAAGAAATCGAAAGCAGTGGCGTATGGGGCGGCGTCTTATGAAGATATGATAGGAATGATTCTATGAACTAGAGGAAGCAATGATATGAATGAAGGAACGAGCAAGCAAGCAAATGGGCATGCACTATTTGTGGCAATATTTTTCATCATTTTTCGTGCAAAACTTTATCGGCTTATTGGACATGAAATGAGAGTAACCACGCAACGCCAAATTGTATGAAGTACATTCACCAATTCATCAAACGTATCATGCTCATTGATAAAGCTCGCCAGCCTCAGGCGCCACCAACCTCATTTTCTTATTCTTAGGTTATAATCGCAACATGCTAGCCATATACTTATACATCTAATCAATATTATACGCCTTGATCATCTCCGCCAACTTCAAGGCATCAACACCATAGTTCACAGCCGAAGCAGAATTGACTTGATAACGGACCCTGCAATTGATGGTTAGTCACACGTTCGCGAATTGAAGTCGTGAGAATATAAAGTTGAAGTTCACATACCTCGCTTGCTCTTGGAAGTTTTCCGTTTTGCCTCTGCATTTGAATATTATCATCTTGCAATTTGCATCATCGAATACCTTTTCCAAGGCCGACTGATCATTTTCCTTCAACTCCATCATCTCATCTGCACTCATTCCCATTATGAGTCTTCCCACTTCTTCAAATGCCGTTAACCATAATTGGCCGGTATGATCATTGACGTTTAGGAGAGGATGTAGCGATATTCGGCTTTAGGATGGGTTTGGTTACATTTTTCGCAGCGCCATGTGCCATCATTTTGGTCGACGACTTTTTTACTGCAATTTTCGTTGAGACAGCAGGGGTAGCAGAAATTGTCTTGTTTGATGTAGACGATGGTGGCTCTGATTGAAAAATAATCTGTGTTCTCCTCGGACATTCCAAGACCTTCCTCTTTGATTTGGGCAACGGTCTTGAGGGGGTCCTGACGGCCGCCTGCTGCTCCAGCACTAGCCATGTTGCTATGTGAGGCAAAGTTTTCTGTGCGACCTTGGGAGTCGTACCATCCCTTAAGCTTGTGGGCTTCTTGAATATCCGGGTCAAAGGACATGGAACCAGAAGACAGCAAACTTAGACTTCTACCCCCAAAATCGGAAACTTTGACACCCTTAAAGGCTACGACCGACTCCGGGCTAGCATCAAAAGAGGTTGCAGTCTTGCCCCATATAGTTAATCTGACGGAATATCCAGTATCATCAACTAATGTCAACTCTCTCTGCTGTATGGTTTATTAGTCGTCTTTGACGTAATTTCTGAGGTTTCTCCAACTTCCTTGAGCACAGCGATGAGATCAACTGTGCTGTCTTTTTCGATTGTTTGTAAATCTCCAATGTTGGAAAAGTTGTATCGTACTTGAGGGACATTATCTTGGTCTTCGGCTTTCTCCACCAGGGTATCTCGTTCGAACATGAGCTCGTAGTCATTATTGATATTGGAAAATTGCTTCTTCGCAATTTGAACTCGACAAGGACTCGTAATATAATAGACGTTGCCTTCCTGGAAAAGCTCATATAAAGCGTCGCACTGCTCGTTGAAGCCCGTTGCCTTAATCTCGCCACTCTCATCCAGAAGATTGACGCTAAAGAGCTTGCCTTCACTGTTTTGTTTGTGCCATGTTCTGATATCCGATTTACTCGTAACTCTTGCTTTGATTGTCCATTTATGAGCGTACGGTGATAGTGACTCAATAGGATATATGGTGGCGTGAGACGAGGAGTTGGACGGACCATTGCGGGATGGGGCGCACGATCTTGAGCGGCAGGTTGTTGGGGTTGAGGTTTAGTTCCATAAAAGCCACCTCCGCCAATTGTAGTATTGTGTGGTTTGACATCTTCTTCGACCTTGACCGCAGTTGGTTCTCCGATCTTTTCCATCGTTCCCAAACTCTCGATGACATCGACATCGAGAATAATCAAAATTCTAAAAAAGTTAGGCAACAACATCCCATAGGAAGACATCTGTGAATATCCAACTGACCTTTTGCCTTTAACTTCATTTGCCTGGTAGTTCTTCAGACGAATGAAGCAACCTTTTGTCAATTTTCCATCGTGTATTACATGATTTGCCTCTGAAATCTCATCAGTCAAATCGTGCTGGCAAAGGCCTAAATAGCTACAACTGGATTCTACTTACGAGTGGCAAGCATGCACTGTACAAAGTTCTGAATGTCGCTCACAACCAGTCTGAATCTTTCGGCCTGTCCATTTACTCCCGCACCCATTGGTTTGATTTGTACCACTTGGCATACTGGTACTGGAAAGTCCTTTACCACACGATCAGTGTCATTGAAGATTGCACTACGAACAGTTAGTATAGAAAAATGATTTAAAAGGTTAAATGTACTTTATCAAGGCACCTTGAGTAATTTGAGCTTTGCAACCTCCATGGTTATCGACAACTATATGCACT